TTGAATGATTCAATGGATGTTTTGTGCACAAAGGTCATGATGTCTTTTTTTGAATTTTCTAATCTTTCTCTATGTGGCCATCTATGGAAATTGTATTTCTGGGCCGGCGTCAGATAAACCGCAGTATTGAAACAAGACTGTAGGAGCAGTCGATACTATGCTTCTACTGGAACCCTGGCGCCTTGTTACAGACCAGTGGCGAACCCTGGGTATTGGACCTACAGTGCCTTGCAAAAGTATTCATCCCCCTTGTCGTTTTTCCTATTTTGTTGCTTTACAACGTGTAATTTAAATGGATTTTTATTTGGATTTCAAGTAATGGACATACACAAAATAGTCCAAATTGGTGAAGTGAAATGAAAAAAATAACTTGTTTCAACAAATTCGGAACAATAAATAACGGAAAAGTGGTGCGTGCATATGTGTTCACCCCCTTTGCTATGAAGCCCCTAAATAAGATCTGGTGCAACCAATTACCCTCAGAAGTCACATAATTAGGTAGATTGCACACAGGTGGACTTTATTTAAGTGTCACATGATCTGTCACATGATCTCAGTATATATACACCTGCTCTGAAAGGCCCCAGAGTCTGCAACACCACTAAGCAAGGGGCACCACCAAGCAAGTGGCACCATGAAGACCAAGGAGCTCTCCAAACAAGTCAGGGACAAAGTTGTGGAGAAGTACAGATCAGGGTTGGGTTATAAAAAAAATATCAGAAACTTTGAACATCCCACGGAGCACCATTAAATCCATTATTAAAAAATGGAAAGAATATGGCACCACAACAAACCTGCCAAGAGAGGGCCACCCACCAAAACTCACGGACCAGGCAAGGAGGGCATTCATCAGAGAGACAACAAAGAGACCAAAGATAACCCTGAAGGAGCTGCAAAGCTCCACAGCGGAGATTGGGGTATCTGTCCATAGGACCACTTTAAGCCATACACTCCACAGAGCTGGGCTTTACGGAAGAGTGGCCAGAAAAAAGCAATTGCTTAAAGAAGAAAATAAGCAAACACTTTTGGTGTTCGCCAAAAGGCATGTGGGAGACTCCCCAAACATATGGAATAAGGTATTCTGGTCAGATGAGACAAAAATTGAGCTTTTTGGCCATCAAGGAAAACGCTATGTCTGGCGCAAACCCAACACCTCTCATCACCCCGAGAACACCATCCCCACAGTGAAGCATGTGGTGGCAGCTAAATGGAATGATGGATGGCGCTAAATACAGGGAAATTCTTGAGGGAAACCTGTTTCAGTCTTCCAGAGATTTCAGACTGGGATGGAGGTTCACCTTCCAGCAGGACAATGACTCTAAGCATACTGCTAAAGCAACACTCGAGTGGTTTAAGGGGAAACGTTTAAATGTCTTGGAATGGCGTAGTCAAACCCCAGACCTCAATCCAATTGAGAATCTGTGGTATGACTTAAAGATTGCTGTACACCAGCGGAACCCATCCAACTTGAAGGAGCTGGAGCAGTTTTGCCTTGAAGAATGGCCAAAAATCCCAGTGGCTAGTTGTGCCAAGCTTATAGAGACATACCCCAAGAGACTGGCGGCTGTAATTGCTGCAAAAGGTGGCTCTACAAAGTGTTGACTTCGAGGGGGTGAATAGTTATGCACGCTCAAGTTTTCTGTTTTTTTTTTCTTATTTCTTGTTTGTTTCACAATAAAAACTATTTTGCATCTTCAAATTGGTAGGCATGTTGTGTAAATCAAATGATACAAACCCCCCCAATGAATGAATACTTTCGCAAGCCACTGTAGTCACGTGGTCAAGACAAAGACCCTCTGAGAGTGACCACAGTGTCTCAGTCCATCCTGTCTTTTACTATCTTTCAAGGGCACAGCTGTGTGGAGATATGAGGTGAACACATAGACTAGGGTCAGTCTGTTATATCTGGTGTTATATTCTCCTGTCTTATCCGGTGTCCTGTGTGAATTTAAGTATGCTCCCTCCCCGCCCGGAGGACCTGAGCCCTAGGACCATGCCTCAGGACTACCTGGCCTGATGACTCCTTGCTGTCCCCAGTCCACCTGGTCGTGATGCTGCTCCAGTTTCAACTCCTCTGCCTGCAGCTATGGAACCCTGACTTGTTCACCGGACGTGCTACCTTGTCCCAGACCTGCTGTTTTCAACTCTCTCTCTCTACCGCACCTGCTATTTCAACCTCTAAATGCCCGGCTATGAAAAGCCAAGTGACATTTACTCCTGATGTACTGACCTGTTGCAACCTCTACAACCACTGTGGTTATTATTTGACCCTGCTGGTCATCTATGAACGTTTGAACATCTTGGAGAAAAATCTGGCCTTAATGGCCATGTACTGTTGTAATCTCCACCCGCCAGAGCCAGAAGGGGACTGACCACCCCTCAGAGCTTGGTTCCTCTCTAGGTTTCTTCCTAGGTTTCTGCCTTTCTAGGGAGTTTTTCCTAGCCACCATGCTTCTAAATCTGCATTGCTTGTGTTTGGGGTTTTAGGCTGGGTTTCTGTATAGCACTTTGTGACATCTGCTGATGTAAAAAGGGCTTTATAAATCAATTTGATTGATTCATTGATTGATTGAACAGAGGCTGGCTTGGACAGAGAGGAGTAACAGAACTAATGTTATCACTTGTTTGTGCGCTATGACCCGATACACATAGCCACAAGAAAACAAGGTAGCTCATGATGCCCTGATCTGCCAGGGAGGGGTGGAACCAGCCATGACTAAGCATTTTTAGGTCCTCTATATAAGACGTCAGCATTTCCTTTATTGTTGGGCTCTCAACGATCACCTACGGGTGGTCATTGACCAGCTCCATTATTGCAATAATTAATAAATATCAAATAAAGATTGTCTCTCCTTATTAGTTAGAATTTCCACGACAATGCGCGGGGGTCCGGAAAGTTGTCCGGCCCTAATGCCTCGGGAAGACATCTCTCAAGAAATGCAACTGCGTCACCATCTTCCACTTTTCGGGTAGATTAACCAGTCTCAAATTAGACCTCCTGTAGTGGTTCTCGAGCAAGCTTAGTTTTGAAGTATCGTCCGCCAGCTGTTTTTCCAACTGTTCAGTCGTTGTTTTGACAGTGACGACAGTATCTTCCACCATACTAATGCATTCCTCTGCTTCGTCCAAGCACGTGAAGTAGGCTAGAAGGTTACGTTTAACCTCACTAATCCCTGTCAGGACACCATTGAGTTTGGTGGAAAAGTCTGCCCTCATGGCAGAGATTGGCGAACACCAAACATGTTTGCTTATTTTTTTCTTTAAGCAATGGCTTTTTTCTGGCCACTCCGTAAAGCCCAGCTCTGTGGAGTGTACGGCTTAAAGTGGTCCAATGGACAGATAAGCCAATTTCCGCTGTGGAGCTTTGCAGCTCCTTCAGGGTTATCTTTGGTCTCTTTGTTGCCTCTCTGATTAATGCCATCCTTGCCTGGTCCGTGAGTTTTGGTGGGCGGCCCTCTCTTGGCAGGTTTGTTGTGGTGCCATATTCTTTCCATTTTTTAATAATGGATTCAATGGTGCTCGTGGGATGTTCAAAGTTTCTGATATTTTTTTTATAACCCAACCCTGATCTGTACTTCTCCACAACTTTGTCCCTGACCTGTTTGGAGAGCTCCTTGGTCTACATGGTGCCGCTTGCTTGGTGGTGCCCCTTGCTTAGTGGTGTTGCAGACTCTGGGGCCTTTCAGAACAGGTGTATATATACTGAGATCATGTGACAGATCATGTGACACTTAGATTGCACACAGGTGGGCTTTATTTAACTAATTATGTGACTTCTGAAGGTAATTGGTTGCACCAGATCTTATTTAGGGGCTTCATAGCAAAGGGGGTGAAAACATATGCACGCACCACTTTTCCTTTATTTATTTTTCAGAATTATATTTAACAAGTAATTTTTTTTATTTCACTTCACCAATTTGGACTATTTTGTGTATATCCATTACATGAAATCCAAATAAAATGTAATGCAACAAAATAGGAAAAACACCAAGGGGGATGAATACTTTTGCAAGGCACTGTACATTTACAGGCTGTATAACAGATACACTAAATATATACAGGGATTTACACAGGGAATTATAGGGATATCAAAAATATAGAGCACTTATTTTAAAAGATTTTGTATTGTGTTACTTATGGAGTGCATTCTTTATAGTATATATTCCAGAGTAAATAACATGCATAAAACTATTATGTTATAAGTTACTGTAAAATACAATGATCTTTACCTATTCTACTCACATTATGGTAAGAATGTTATATTTCTACACTGTATTAGACAATACATTATGCCTTGCAATATATACTTTTAAAATAGAAATGTTGGCATATATATTGCAAATATACATTTCTCTCTTTGAAGAGTGTGTGATATGAGGCTTGTAGAAGCTTGGTGAACAGAGAGAGGGTAAAACCCTGAGACACTGGATGTCTTAAAACGCTATCCTTGACAGGGCTGGCTCCAAAAGCACTACAGAAATGCACTAAAGGCAAAATTAGCTTCACAGACAAATGCCTAGCATTTTCTGGAGTATACATCTACACATACACTGGCTATACTGTGTAGGCCTGTGTAACTTAACTGTATAGAGGTACAGAAGTTCCATACTGGAACTGTACAGAAAGTTTTCAAAAAAGTGTGAAACAGTGGACATTTCTTATTGTCAGAAATATGGCATACTGTATGTGCAAGGCATAAAAATGCATTGTATAATTAATTTCTACATTAATTTTCCAGCCCAAAAAAAAAAACAGTCTTATTTTCATGGGGCCAAATTGAAAGAACTACAGTATATTAGTACATTTCATATCTACAGGGCACAAGGAGGGCAAAGCATAACATTTATAAATGTCCCACTAGAGGAAAAGTTTAAATTCTTGAGAGACCGGTTTCTGACCAAGAAGTGAATCACTCAGTGCACCATACTGTTTACAATCACTACAGACAGGCTGTATATTCTAAATAATTCTAAATCACTACATCACTATACTGAACCACTATGCAGACAAATCACAGCAACACGGTGATTGACTCACACAGGTAAACCAAAATAACTTCACAATACCTTGTCAGGTCTGGTTCAGAGGAATGTGGTCTAGACTATTCCAGAGTCCTGGTTCTTCACTGGGTCTCTCTTTCTAGTCTCTTCCTTACTGCAGACTGCCTGGTGAGGGATGGTGAGGGTGTTTGACAGCTCCCCAGGTTGGGTGGTGGTTGTGCAATGCTAACCCCAAGCAGGGGGGCCAGCAGTGAAAACCTATCCCCCTCCGAGCTGGCCTGAGCTGGGGGCAAGGCAAAGTGCTGATGCCTGAGCTCTGGAGGATTCCCGTAATCCGAGGTCAAGATTTGGGGGGCAAAGGGAGGGGATGAGGGGATGGAGGAGGGACGGGTGGAGGGTAAGTGATAAACAGGGGCGGAGGTTAATAATAATAATACACTACCGGTCAAAAGTTGTCGAACACCTACTAATTCAAGGGTTTTTCTTTATTTTTACTATTTTCTACATTGTAGAATAATAGTGAAGACATCAAAACTATGAAATATCACATATGGAATCATGTAGTAACCAAAAAAGTGTTAAACAAATCAAAATATATTTTATATTTGAGATTCTTCAAATAGCCACCCTTTGCCTTGATGACAGCTTTGTACACTCTTGTCATTCTCTCAACCAGCTTCACCTGGAATGCTTTTCCAACAGTCTTGAAGGAGTTCCCACATATGCTGAGCACTTGTTGGCTGCTTTTCCTTCACTCTGCGGTCCGACTCATCCCAAACCATCTCAATTTGGTTGAGGTTGGGGGATTGTGGAGGCCAGGTCATCTGATGCAGCACTCCATCACTCTCCTTCTTGGTAAAATAGCCCTTACACAGCCTGGAGATGTGTTGAGTCATTGTCCTGTTGAAAAACAAATGATAGTCCCACTAAGCCCAAACCAGATGGGATGGCGTATCGCTGCAGAATGCTGTGGTAGCCATGCTGGTTAAGTGTGCCTTGAATTTACATGTAATTCCATTACATGAAATCCAAATAAAAATCTGTTTAAATTACAGGTTGTAATGCAACAAAATAGGAAAAATTCCAAGGGGGATGAATACTTTTGCAAGGCACTGTAAGTTGAACAGAGGTAGACTGGAAAAATACCAGGTCCTTCTTACAAGACCTTCAAACAGACAGTGGAAATTTACAGATTTAAGGCTCATACAGCGCATGTGCATAACAAAGTTTAGCATTAAGAACTATTAAAGTAATTAATCATTAAATTGTTTCTGCTATACAAGCTTAAATAGGTTATACAGGATTTTTTCCTCACAGCATTGAAAGAGCCCATCGGCTTCCGGCTCCTACAGGCCCGAGAAACCACCTCTCTCCTCGAGTTCTTATCATGAAGTTTCTCAACTTTCAAGACAAAGTCAGAGTGATGCGGAAAGCCAGGGCCAAGGGCAAGGTGATGTACAGGGACTGAGAGATCATGTTCTTCCTTGACCTATCCGTGGACCTGCACGGAAAAAGAAAAGGCTACGACAGGGTCAAACGCCAGCTCAGGTCGATCAACATTGCCTATGGAATAGCCTTCCCAGCTAAACTACGTCTGACTTACAATGGACGGTCACACAGGTTTGAATCTCCCTCTCAAGCCGAGGCGTTCATCCGTGGCATACAACGTGAATCTTCATCCTAGTCATGTAAAGACCTTTAAATAGGTCAACATTCACAAGGCCGCAGGGCCAAACGGATTACCAAGACATGTACTCAGAGCATGCGCGGACCAACTGGCAAGTGTCTTCACTGACATTTTCAACCTCTCCCTGACCGAGTCTGTAATACCTACATGTTTCAAGCAGACCACCATAGTCTCTGTGCCCAAGAAAGCGAAGGTAACCTGCCTAAATTACTACCGCCCCGTAGCACTCACGTCGGTAGCCATGAAGTGCTTTGAAAGGCTGGTCATGGCTCACATCAACACCATCATCCCGGAAACCCAAGACCCACTCCAATTCGCATACCACCCCAACAGTTCCACAGATGACGCAATCTCAATCGCACTCCACACTGCCCTTTCCCACCTGGACAAATGGAACACCTATGTGACAATGCTGTTCATTGACTACAGCTCAGCGTTCAACACCATAATGACCACAAACCTCATCACTAAGCTAAGGACCCTGGGACTAAACACCTCCCTCTGCAACTGGATCCTGGACTTCCTGACGGGCCGCACCCAGGTGGTAAGGGTAGGCAACAACACATCTCCCACGCTGATCCTCAACACGGGGGCCCCTCAGGGGTGCGTGCTTAGTCCCCTCTTGTATTCCCTGTTCACCCACGACTGCGTGGCCAAGCATGACTCCAACACCATCATTAAGTTTGCTTACGACACAACGGTGGTAGGCCTGATCACCGACAATGATGAGACAGCCTATAGGGAGGAGGTCAGAGACCTGGCAGTGTGGTGCCAGTACCACAACCTCTCCCTCAACGTGAGCAAGACAAAGGAGATGATCGTGGACTACAGGAAAAGGGGTGCCGAACACGCCCCCATTCACATCGACGGGGCTGTAGTGGAGCGGGTCGAGAGTTTCAAGTTGGTGTCCACATCACCAACAAACTGTCATGGTCCAAACACACCAAGAAAGTCGTGAAGAGGCCACGACAACGCCTTTTCCCCCTCAGGAGACTGAAAAGATTTGGCATGGGTCCCCAGATCCTCAAAAGGTTCTACAGCTGTACCATCGAGAGCATCCTGACCGGTTGCATCGCCAACTGGTATGGCAACTGCTCGGCATACAGAGGGTAGTGCGTACAGCCCAGTATATCACTGGGGCCAAGCTTCCTACCATCCAGGACCTATATACTAGGTGGTGTCCAGTCACCCAAGTCATAGACTGTTCTCTCTGCTGAACAATTCATCAAATGGCCACCCGGACTATTTACATTGACATTGTTTTTACACTGCTGCTACTCGCTGTTTATTATCTATGCATAGGTCTGCACCTGTTGTATTCGCTGCATGTGACAAATAACATTTTATTTGATGATGATAATCCCAAATTCTTTGAGAATGTATTTATATTGATAGTCTTCCTTCCTGGGACAGTGTAGAGACGTTGGATGGACACTGAATGAAGAGAGATTTCTTTGAAGAATACCCATTTCTTTCCAGAATTCGAATGGCAGGGGATTTTAATTGCACTCTTGATCCTCATCTAGATCGCTCCTCTGGTTTAGACACTTCCCACTCCCAGATTAGAAAGAAATTACAGCATTTCATTAAGGACTTAAATCTATGTGAACCTTGGAGGACTCGAGTAAAAGGGATTATTCATGTTACTCGCCGACAATTAAATCAAAACAAATGTCATTTCTCACATGCGCCGAATACAACAGGTGTAGACCTTACAGTGAAATGCTTACTTACAAGCCCTTAACCAACAATGCAGTTTTAAGAAAGAATACCAAAAACAATTTCACAAAAAAAGACGAAATAATACAAAATAAAAGTAAAAATTATTAAAGAGCAGCAGTAAAAATAACAATATCACACTTTACAACTCTGAATCTCCTGAGAACTTAACTAATCAGACATCATTTTTGGATGGTCTTGATTTTCCCTCTATTTCAGAAGACACAAAATTGGATCTGGAAAAGGAATTGGATGGTGTTGAAATATCTGATGCTATTTTCAATATGAAGGGAGGTAAAGTGGCAGGTCCAGATGGGCTCCCAATAGATATTTATAAGATATTTAAGGACAAACTTCTAGGTCCACTATTTGACATGTATGCTAAATCCTTTCAGCAAGGTTGTTTCCCCGCTCTCTAAGGAGTGCTTTAATCACTCTTATTCTGAAGCCTGATAAATCCCCAACAAAATGTGAAAGTTACAGACCGATTTCTCTTCTGAACTCCGACTCAAAAATTATTGCTAAAGCCAGGAGATTGGATAGAGTGCTCCCATATCTAATACATGAAGACCAAAATGGCTTCGTGAAAAAAATGTGTGTACTAAACATAGTGCACATGTGTGAAGGGTCCCCTGATACTGCCCTACTCTCACTTGATGCAGAGGAGGCATTCGACAGAGTTGAGTGGTCTTATTTATTTGAAGTGCTTAAGAGATTTGGGTTTGGGAACTACTTCTGTAAATGGATTAAGATATTATATACCGACCCCACTGCAGAAGTTGCCACTAACAACTTGATTTCACAAGCTTTTAAGCTTTTTCAGGGCACGAGACAAGAATGTCCGGCCAGTCCAGGACTCTTTCTTTTAGATATAGAACCCTTTGCCATTGCAGTAAGGGCCCACTCGTCAATTAGTGAAATTAAAACATCAGATTTTGAACATCGAGTGGCCCTGTATGCTGATGATACCCTCTTATTCCTCACAGATCAAAAGATTTCTATCTCTTCCCTCTCCAATTTAATTAATAACTTTGGTCAGTTTTCTGGGTTGAAAGTTAATAAAACCAAATCTTCCATCCTTTTCCTCAACAAGCAAGAGAGACTGAATCCAGTTGTACAGCACAAGGTTTCACATATCTTGGTATTAAAATCACACCAGAAATTAGCTCTTTGAGTTCTGCAAATTATTAATTTATGGTAACGAATGTAACAGAATCCATCAACAGATGGACATCATTGCCTATATCCATAATTGGTAGAATAAATATCATTAAGATCAATATTCTGCCCAAATTTCTTTATCTCTTTCCACCACCTTTATTTTCCTCAAAGATCAGAAAGATACTCTCAGATTTTATCTGGAGCAACAGAAAACCAAGGCTTAGACTTTCTCTTCTTTATTTACCCTATGACAGAGGGGGGTTACGTATTACTGGGCTTCAATGTTTTGGTTCTCCAAGAAACCATCCTTACCCTGGCTGCAGACTGAAATGCTGTCCACTAAAGGCTTAACTTTGGATGGATATTTGTACTCAACTCCCTTTAAGAAACTAAAGAAGAATACTACTAATCCCTTTGTTAAAACCACCCTAACTGTATGGCACGAAGTACAGCAATATCTGGGTGGATCCCCTGTGTTATCCAGTTTTACACCAATTTGGGGCAATTACAATTTCACACCTGGTAACAATGACTTGGAGTTTAAAGAATGGGCAAGAAAAGGTATTGTTAAAGTAATAGACTTATACCATGAAAAAGGGCTCATGTCGTTTGAAGAACTAAAGGGAAGATTTAACTTACCACAAAAGCATTTTTTCAAATACTTTCAATTGAGAAGCTTAATTTTTTTCCAGTCTAAAACAATCTGCCCTACAACCTCCTTTGACCACCTTAGAAATGCTCTCTGTTAATATGTGTTATGGGAGAGGTCAAATTACATCATTATATGGGAAAATGGTAGCTACTCATGAAGACAACTCTGAGAGTAAGAGACTTCAGTGGATACAAGATATGCAGGAAGATATTTCAGCAGAGGACTGGGGTATGATATGCTCTAGAGATCAGATACAGACAATAAACAGCCGTCTGAGATTGATGCAATACAATTGGATAATGAAAACATATAGCACTAGTCAAAAGTTTTAGAACACCTACTAATTCAAGGGTTTTTCTTTATTTTTACTATTTTCTACATTGTAGAATAATAGTGAAGACATCAAAAACTATGAAATAACACATATGGAATCATGTAGTAACCAAAAAAGTGTTAAACAAATCAAAATATATTTTATATGTGAGTTTCTTCATATAGCCACCCCTTGCTTTGATGACACTCTTGGCATTCTCTCAACCAGCTTCACCTGGAATGCTTTTTCAACAGTCTTGAAGGAGTTCCCACATATGCTGAGCACTTGTTGGCTGCTTTTCCTTCACTCTGCGGTCCGACTCATCCCAAACCATCTCAATTTGTTTGAGGTCGGGGGATTGTGGAGGCAAGGTGGATATATGAAGAATCTCAAATATAAAATATATTTTGATTTGTTTAACACTTTTTTACTTAGTACATGATTCCATATGTGTTATTTCATAGTTTTGATGTCTTCACTATTATTCTACAATGTAGAAAACAGTTAAAATAAAGAAAAACTCTTGAATGAGTAGGTGTTCTAAAACTTTTGACCGGTAGTGTACGTTTTTTCAACAAAAGGTTATGGTCAATAATATCAAAGGTTGCACTGAAATCTATCAGTACAGCACCCACAATCTTCTTATTATCAATTTCTTTCAACCAATCATCAGTCACTTGTGTCAGTGCAGTACATGTTGAGCGCTCTTCTCTATAAGCATCCTGAAAGTCTGTTGTAAATTTGTTTACAGAGAAATAACATTGTATTTGGTCAAACACAATGTTTTCCAACAGTTTGCTAAGCAGCAAGCTTATACAGTGGCTTGCGAAAGTATTCACCCCCATTGGCATTTTCCCTATTTTGTTGCCTTACAACCTGGAATTAAAATGGATTTTTTGGGGGTTTGTATCATTTGATTTACACAACATGCCTACCACTTTGAAGATGAAAAATAGTTTTTATTGTGAAACAAACAAGAAATAAGACAAAAAAACTAAACGTGCATAACTATTCACCCCCCCCCCCCCCCCCCCCCCCCCCAGTTTACCTGTTTGCTTATGGCCCTGCCTACACCTGACTAGTTGTTGTTGTTTTTTTTCAATTTTATTTGGAATGGCAAGCCAGACAAAAATAAACAGGCCTATTTATATAATGAATATTAATTTGGAGGGCAGAAATTATTAAATATTAAAGCATTAGACCTCTCACTAAAGGCTTCAGTCATACATAAACTATACTTAAATCCGAACTGGTTCTCTAGCAGATTAGTAAGAATAGCTCACCTCGTGTTCAAGAATGGCCTTTTCCCCTTTATTCAGATTACAACCTCTCACTTTCAGTTATTTGAAAATGAAATAATCTCCAAAATATTAAATTTTTTGTAGTTGAATCTGTGCTTGAAATTCAATACGTGACTGAGGGACCTTACAGATGTTGTATGTATGGGGGACAGAGGAAGGGCTAGTCATTCAAAAATCATGTCAACCCCTATTATCTAATTTATTATGCTGTTTGTTAAGCAACATTTTACTGAATACTTATGCAATCACTATATTTTAGTGATCTAATTTTTATTTAAAAAAAAAAAAACATCTTCTACTAGCCTGTTGACAAAAAAGATTAATCAATTTTAATTCCACTTTGTAACACAATAAAATGTGAAGAAATCCAAGGGGTCTGAATACTAATCCCCGAGCCGACTAGGTGAAAAATCTGTTGATGTGCCCTTAAGCAAGGCACCCTAATTGCTCATGTAAGTCGCTCTGGATAAGAGCGTCTGCTAAATGACTAAAATGTAAAATGTAAAATGTACAAGACAGGTTGCGGGAGAATGCTCACGAATGGATTTAGAATTTGGGAATATTGATAAGGGGCAGTTGGGACGTCAAGTGCGCATCGTCTCAATGCTCATTTTGGCCAAAACACATGCAGACTTGAGTGATCACTGTCGAATACATCAGCAAGTGGCCACTCGATAAAGGGTTTGGGGGCTAAGTGTTCGGTTTGAGATTCAGCCATGCTTTCAAAGGTGCTATCCAACACCTGACACCAATGTAGGGGTACCCTGACTGGGACTCAAACCCTGGTCCCTGTGACCGTTATACCAAAAGGCGAAAATGTTTTTGTGAGGTCGCTTGGTGTAAACGCAAGGTGTTGTACTGAGGTTGTTCAGTATTTTGTACAATGGGTTGAACTTTATTTTATTTTATTTTTTTCGCTTGCTCATCTCACTTAAAAAAATATTAAGTCTGTTAAACAGTTAATAAAATGTGTATGGCCTTGTCCTCTTATCCAAACATTGAAATAGATGGGCACAGTGCGGCAGAAAGGCTAGCTGTAGCCATAGATAGCTGGCCTCTTTTAAAAACTCAGCAAAAAAAGAAACGTCCTCTCACTGTCAACTGCGTTTATTTTAAGCAAACTTAACATCTGTAAATATTTGTATGAACATAAGACTCAACAACTGAGACATAAACTAAAGAAGTTCCACAGTGACTAACAGAAATTGAATAATTTGTCCCTGAACAAAAGAGGGGTCAAAATCAAAAGTAACAGTCAGTATCTGGTGTGGCCACCAGCTGCATTAAGTACTGCAGTGCATCTCCTCCTCATGGACTGCACCAGATTTGCCAGTTCTTGCTGTGAGATGTTACCCCACTCTTCCACCAAGGCACCTGCAAGTTCCCTGACATTTCTGGGGGGAATGGCTCTAGCCCTCACCCTCCGATCCAACAGGTCCCAGATGTGCTCAATGGGATTGAGATCCAGACTCTTCGCTGGCCATGGCAGAACACTGACATTCCTGTCTTGCAGGAAATCATGCACAGAACGAGCAGTTTGGCTGGTGGCATTGCCATGCTGGAGGGTCATGTCAGGATGAGCCTGCAGGAAGGGTAACACATGAGGGAGGAGGATGTCTTCCCTGTAACGCACAGCGTTGAGATTGCCTGCAATGACAACAAGCTCAGTCCGATGATGCTGTGACACACAGCCCCAGACCCTGACGGACCCTCCACCTCCAAATCGATCCCACTCCAGAGTACAGGCCTCGGTGTAAAACGCGAATCCGACCATCACCCCTGGTGAGACAAAACCGCGACTCGTCAGTGAAGAGCTGTCTGGTCCTGTCTGGTCCAGCGACGATGGGTTTGTGCCCATAGGCGACGTTGTTGCCGGTGATGTCTGGTGAGGACCTGCCTTACAACAGGCCTACAATCCCTCAGTCCAGCCTCTCTCAGCCTATTGCGGACAGTCTGAGCACTGATGGCGGGATTGTGCGTTCCTGGTGTAACTCGGGCAGTTGTTGTTGCCATCCTGTACCTGTCCCGCAGGTGTGATGTTCGGATGTACCGATCCTGTGCAGATGTTGTTACATGTGGTCTGCCACTGCGAGGACGATCAGCTGTCCATCCTGTCTCCCTGTACCGCTGTCTTAGGCGTCACACAGTACGGACATTGCAATTTATTGCGCTGGCCACATCTGCAGTCCTCATGCCTCCTTGCAGCATGCCTAAGGCACGTTCACGCAGATGAGCTGGGACCCTGGGCATCTTTCTTTTGGTGTTTTTCAGAGTCAGTAGAAAGGCCTATTTATTGTCCTAAGTTTTCATAACTGTGACCTTAATTGCCTACTGTCTATAAGCTGTTAGTGTCTTAATGACCGTTCCACAGGTGCATGTTCATCAATTGTTTATGGTTCATTGAACAAGCATGGGAAACAGTGTTTAAACCCTTTACAATGAAGATCTGTGAAGTTATTTGGATTTTTACGAATTATCTTTGAAAGACAGGGTCCTGAAAAAGGGACGTTTCTTTTTTTGCTGAGTTTAGATATAAAATAATACTCACTCGGAGACGTAGAACACTCACGACAACAGGTTAGGATTTTCGACCATGTTATTGATCACTGTAGGCGCACCCTAGCTCAAAATGGGAATATCTCGACCGGTCTCCCAAAGCCAACTTAACTGTAAAAAAGCAAAAGCCAACTCTCCAGTCTTTGATTCCCTCCTTCTCCTCCTCCTTTAGGTTCCTTTGCCAGTGGAGAAGATCAACTCCACTGAACACCCAGTGAAGGTGGGCCTGTCTGACGCATTCATGGCCCTCCTCCCCTCTCCACAGTCCTCAGGTCAGTCACAACAAGATTACACTCACTCCTGACATCCAATATCCTTCCCTCTCTACTGTACCCAGACAGGTTTTAGATCAGCATCATGTTATTTGTGTGAATGTCACAAGGTCAAGAATACTCGCCCTACTTCTACTTGATTTCCTTCCTATAGATGCAAGACGGCGGACCATCTATGAGTACCATAGAGTAGAGATTGACACCACTAAGATCATCAATCACTCTGCCTTTGAGTTCACTCCACTGCCCAGTGAGTATGCATTGTTCTCATAGACCCCTACTCAGCCAAACTTGTGACATCATGATGGCAGTTTCACGCTTTCCCCCTACTGAAAACAAGCCTGTAAAAGTTGTAATGGATCATTTGTCTGATTTTCCCAGCATGTCTCCAACACACCACCTGTGAACTCTGTCTCATATCCAACCAGACAAACGGCTGTGGTTGGTGCAACACACTGCAAAGGTGAGGTGTGTGTGATTGTTGTGTGTGTGTGCTTGCGAGTGTGCGTGATTGTGCGTGTGTATGTATACATGTGAGTGTTTGACTTAATGTCATGTATGAAGGACTAACGTGAGACGTAAAGATTGTTTATTAGCGTTGTATTGTGTATTATATTGCATAATTGTCCTCTCTCTCGGTCCTCTCCACATGTGTTTCAGATGCTCTGATGGAATTGATCGTCACAGACAGGAGTGGCTCGACTACAACTGTCCAGAAGAGGTGAGATGGCATTAGATCGTAGTGCCGAAAAAGCAGAAGATGACGTTGCAACAAATTACATCTAACAACCGTTACTCGCCCACTCCCGCCAATATTATTTTGTAACTTTCTTTCAGGCAAAAGAGGGCACCTGTGAGGACTACACCCAGGGAGGTCCTGAGGGCTCCATGGGGCCCTTCAACCAATCGACCCCAGAGCCCACGCCCTCCTCTGCAGTGCTCTCAGATATCCCCGTCACAGAGGGTGAGTCGGGGGCCGGAAGCACCACCCCTCTGCTGGGTCTGAGTTATAGTGGTGCCCAGGGTTGCTGGCCACTCACATACCAAATCAGCACACCCCCATTATCTTATTAAAGATAGTATGGTCCAGCCCAGATAAATGACCCAGTCCAATGTCAACGTAGGAAATCAATGTTGCCAGGTTGAGACATTTAACAATTTCCAGATTGAAATGTTTTTCTCCATATGTTTATAATTATAAGGAGACATTTCAAGTTCTGCTATGTAGCAGCAACCCAAATCCACCCTCAAATGATGGATAAATATAGTTAGATGCTAATCCATGCTTTCTGTGCTTGCTTTCTGTTGTCCAAGTTCTGTCTGTCTGTTTGTTTGTCTGTCTGTCTGTGTCCGTCTGTCTCTTCCCATCTTATGTGTCTGTACAACAATACTCTCTTTTTATCCACAGATGATACCAAACTTCTCATTCGTTACAATGGTGGTGGTGAGTTGGCTTGTAATTGGTTGGCTATGTGGGTGTTTTGCATAAGTCAGTGAGGCTGCCTGGTTGTGAGTAATGTTATCCTTAACCGGAGCCACTGACCTTAGACTTGACTGAGCCACTGAGAGGATAAACTCAGTTAAACATTTAGAAAAAAATATCCTGAATGCAACTATGAATAAAATATACCTTTTGGTGCGCTACCTATTAAAAGACAATATCCTGGCTGTTCCAAGCCTTTATTATCACCAACATTTCCAGGCACATTGGAATGCTGCTAGAGTCTTGAGTTCATAGTGTTGTACTGTAAGTCTTGTGTTGTTCTGTCTTTGTGATGTGCTTTTGTCCTATAACCGTCGCTAATGCGCAAGTGAAGCTGGCCAACTGTCTATACTATATGTATCCTGTTTTGGGCACTATGCCTTCTCCTTTAGCCATTTTACCAAGCGTAGCAGGGTAGACTAGGGCTAATTTAATTTGACATTAGCAATTCTTATTCACAATCATTCCAATGATTAGAATAATTAGCGTTACCTCGCTTTTCTTTTCTCTCAGACTTGCAAACAGGTCCTCCACACCAGGAACGGACAGAGCACACTGCGATTATTGCAGGTGTGGTGGCAGCCCTCATTCTGCTGGTAGCCCTAACCCTTTTGGCTGTCTACTATATCAACACACACCCCACTGTTGCTCCTCCATTCTACCTCATGCAGGTGAGACTGAGAGCAGGCCCTTACAGAATTAAATAAATTCCACTTGGATGCTCTGTTCTTATATAGAAATGTCTAGCACAGGGATGCATGACTCAATTTAAGCTATGATCAACAGCATGAAAATATAAATTAAATGCCACGGAGAAACGATAGGTAGCAGGACTTCGGCCCTTGAGGGCCAGATGTGCTGGGTCGTGTTCAGTAAGGCACACTGTTGCCTACCATTTTGCACTGAATCAAAAATCTGTGTTTGTATTGGACACATTCAGTTAGTACCTCCCCGTTTCACTCTGTTTCAAAATGGTTGTTCCCTACTGAACACAACCCTGGTCTAGGGCTGTACTGTACTCCTGGATTTGACTAATCCTGGTTGGTTAAAATGTCTGTTGTTCACAGCGACACACCAATAACTACTGGCCATCTATGAAGTTCCGCAACCAGAGCTGCCACTCCACCTATGCTGAGGTGGAGCTGGGGGGTCACGATAAGGAGGGTTTCATTGAGGCCGAACAGTGCTGCTAAGTAGGCTGGACTTCCGTGGCAAAGTCGGACAAGGGAGTGGGCGCCATTTTGGGGATTAAAAAAGGAACTGCTTGTAGAGAACAGTACTTTGTCCGTTTTTTCTGTGTCTCTCGCTCATCGCCTGTCCAACATGCAGCAGCTTTCTATGGCCCTGTTCGAATACTCTGATAATACATCCTTCCTCCTTCCTTGAGGTAAGCACAGATCTAACATTATTTGATAGGTGAGCAAGAAGTCCACTACATTGATTTCACCAATCATGTCATATCAGATCAGCGATAACTTCAAGGAAGAGAGGAAGGAGGACCTACAGTGCCTTCGGAAAGTATTCAGACCCCTTGAGTTTTTCCACATTTTGTTATGTTACAGCCTTATTCTAAAATGCTTAAAATTGTTTTTATCCCTCATCAATCTACACAAAATACCCCATAATGACAAAGCAAAAACAGTTTTTCTTTACATTTTTGCTAATTTATAAAAAAGAATAAACTGAAATATCACATTTACATAAGTACTCAGATTACAGCCTTGGGAGTCTTCTTGGGTATGTCGCTACAAGCTTGGCACACCTGTATTTGGGGAGTTTCTCCCATTGTTCTCTGCAGATCCTCTCAAGCTCTGTCAGGTTGGATGGGGAACGTCGTTGCACAGCTATTTTCAGGTTTCTCCAGAGATGTTCGATCGGGTTCAAGTCCGGGCTCTGGCTGGGCCACTCAAGGACATTCAGAGACACTCCTGCATTGTCTTGGCTGTGTGCTTAGGGTTGTTGTCCTGTTGGAAGGTGAACTGTTGCCCCAGTCTGAGGTCCTGAGTGCTATGGAGCAGGTTTTCATCAAAGATCTCTCTGTACTTTGCTCCGTACATCTTTCCCTCGATTCTGACTAGTCTCCCAGTCCCTGCCACTGAAAACCATCCCCACAGCATGATGCTGCCACCACCATGCTTCACCGTAGGGATGGTGCCAGGTTTACTCCAGACGTGACGCTTGCCATTCAGGCCAAAGAGTTCAATCTTGGTTTCATGAGATTCTTTAGGTGCCTTTTGGCAAACTCCAAGCAGGCTGTCATGTGCCTTTTACTGAGGAGTGGCTTCCATCTGGCCACTCTACCATAAAGGCCAGATCGGTGGAGTGCTGCAGATATGGTTGTCCTTCTGGAAGGTTCTCCCATCTCCACAGAGGAACTCTGGAGCTCTGTCAGTGACCATCGGGTTCTTGTTCACCTCCCTGACCAAGGATCTTCTCCCCCGATTGCTCAGTTTGGCCGGGCGGCCAGCTCTAGGAAGAGTCTTGGTGGTTCCAAACTTCTTCCATTTAAGAATGATGGAGGCCACTGTGTTCTTGGGGACCTTCAATGCTCTAGAAATGTTTTGCTACCCTTCCTCAGATCTGTGCCTCGACACAATCCTGTCTCGGAGCTCTACGGACATTTCCTTTGCCTCATGGCTTGGTTTTTGCTCTGACATGCACTGTCAACTGTGGGACATTATATACAGTTGAAGTCGGAAGTTTACATACACTTAAGTTGGAGTCATTAAAACACGTTTTTCAACCACTCCACACATTTCTTGTAAACACTATAGTTTTGGCAAGTCGGTTAGGACAACTACTTTGTGCATGACACAAGTAATTTTTCCAACAATTGTTTACAGACAGATTATTTCACTTATAATTCACTGTATCACAATTCCAGTGGGTCAGAAGTTTACATACATTAAGTTGACTGTGCCTTTAAACAGCTTGGAAAATTCCAGAAAATGATGTCATGGCTTTAGAAGCTTCTGATAGGCTAATTGACACAGTTTGAGTCAATTGGTGGATCTATTTCAAGGCCTACCTTCAAACGTAGTGTCTCTTTGCTTGACATCATGGGAAAATCAAAAGAAATCAGCCAAGACCTCAGAAAAACAATTGTAGACCTCCACAAGTCCGGTTCATCTTTGGGAGCAATTTCCAAACGCCTGAAGGTAACCCGTTCATCTGTACAAACAATAGTACGCAAGTATAAACACCATGGGACCATGCAGCCATCATACCGCTCAGGAAGGAGACGCGTTCTGTCTCCTAGAGATGATCGTACTTTCGTGTGAAAATGCAAATCAATCCCAGAACAACAGCAAATGACCTTGTGAAGATGCTGGAGGAAACAGGTACAAAAGTATCTATTTCCACAGTAAAACGAGTCCTATATCGACTTAACCTGAAAGGCCGCTCAGCAAGGAAGAAGCCACTGCTCCAAAACTGCCATAAAAAAGCCAGACTACGGTTTGCAACTGCATATGGGGACAAAGATCGTACTTTTTGGAGAAATGTCCTCTGGTCTGATTAAACAAAAATAGAACTGTTTGGCCATAATGACCATCGTTATGTTTGGAGGAAAAAGGGGGTGGCTTGCAAGCCAAAGAACACCATCCCAACCGTGAAGCACGGGGGTGACAGCATCATGCTGTGGGGGTGCTTTGCTGCAGGAGGGACTGGTGCACTTCACAAAATAAATGGCATCATGAGAAAGGAAAATTATATGGATATATTGAAGCAACATCTCAAGACATCAGTCAGGAAGTTAAAGCTAGGTCGCAAATGGGTCTTTTTAATATAATATAAATAATATGCCATTTAGCAGACGCTTTTATCCAAAGCGACTTACAGTCATGCGTGCATAAATTTTTTGTTGTTGTGTATGGGTGGTCCCGGGGATCGAACCCACTACCTTGGCGTTACAAGCGCCGTGCTCTACCAGCTGAGCTACAGAGGACCACAAGCATACTTCCAAGCATACTTCCAAAGTTGTGGCAAAATGGCTTAAGGACAACAAAGTCAAGGTATTGGAGAGGCCATCACAAAGCCCTGACCTCAATCCTATAGAAAATGTGTTGGCAGAACTGAAAAAGCGTGTGCGAGCAAGGAGGCCTACAAACATGACTCAGTTACACCAGCTCTGTCAGGAGGAATGGGCCAAAATTCACCCAACTTATTGTGGGAAGCTTGTCGAAGGCTACCCGAAACGTTTGACCCAAGTTAAACAATTTAAAGGCAATGCTACCAAATACTAATTCAGTGTATGTAAACTTCTGACCCACTGGGAATGTGATGAAAGAAATAAAAGCTTAAATAAATCACTCTCTCTACTATTATTCTGACATTTCACATTCTTAAAATAAAGTGGTGATCCTAACTGACCAAAGACAGGGAATTTTTACTAGGATTAAATGTCAGGAATTGTGAAAAACTGAGTTTAAATTAATTTGGCTAAGGTGTATGTAAACTTCCGACTTCAACTGAAGACAGATGATTTGCCTTTCCAAATCATGTCCAATCAATTGAATTTACCACAGGTGGACTCCAATCAAGTTGTAGAAACATCTCAAGGATGATCAATGGAAACAGGATGCACCTGAGCTCAATTTCGAGTCTCATAGCAAAGGGTCTGAATACTTATCTAAATAAGGTATTTCTGTTTTTTATTTTTTATTTAAAAAAAAAAACTGTTTTCTCTTTGTCATTATGGGGTATTGTGAGTAGATTGCTGAGGATATTTTTTATTTTGATCAATTTTAGAATAAGGCTGTAACGTAACAAAATGTGGAAAAAGTCAAGGGGTCTGAATACTTTCCAAAGGCACTGTATGTATAATCAGAGAGGATGGATGTTGGGAAAACTCCATCTGAGAGGAAAGAGCTGAATACACATTGTGTGTAAAGTCAGGGAATGGTACAGACACACTAGCCTTCATTACTGCAAACCAAGTTTATAATGGTTGTGTTTTCATTTTTTTCTGTTTTGAGAAGATATCTTGTGTTTTCTAAAATGTCTTGGTTGGTGAACAACCGTTGAATTACAGTATATGTACCGTACTATAGCCACATGGACTTCACTATAACATATATCTTTTAGTGATTATAATGATCATTATTGCCATGAACCACTTTGGAAAAACCTGGTTACATTGTTTTGGAGAAATGTACTGTCATTAAGTTTAGCATATGAAAAAAATTACTTTTTTTGTTTGACATCATTACTGTTTCAAAATGTTCCAATAAAAACTTGTGATTGGTTTTGATAAAATCCTTGAGTCACTCAAATAAATGAGCATTGTTCAAGCACATGGTCAGTCATGGCATAGCCGATACAGTTATTCAAGGTTTTAGTGCACAATTATCAGTTGAGGCCAGAGAGAAATAGGCAAAGCGAGAGGTTTTACAAAAAAAAAATTAGTGCACGAAAATAAGCCCACTAAGTGAGGATTTTTTTATATGGAGGTCAATGACAGCGTGTTGAATTTGGTCTCTATTTTCGCCTGGCGTTAAGGTGGTGCTAGCGTCAAACGCACTTAAAAACTGGCGCACTGGCATTTTCCAACCCTAACTCCAGGTTCGGCAATTTACCTGTCTAACATCAGCATGCTTGCGCTCAGATGGGAGGGTGGAAATATTTGAGGCGTTTCCTTAAAAACATGATCCAAAGTGCTAAATTCAGGCAGCGCTGGTAGGGATATTTACAGTGGGGGAAAAAAGTATTTAGTCAGCCACCAATTGTGAAAGTTCTCCCACTTAAAAAGATGAGAGAGGCCTGTAATTTTCATCATAGGTACACGTCAACTATGACAGACAAAATGAGATTTTTTTTCTCCAGAAAAACACATTGTAGGATTTTTTATGAATTTATTTGCAAATTATGGTGGAAAATAAGTATTTGGTCAATAACAAAAGTTTCTCAATACTTTGTTATATACGCTTTGTTGGCAATGACACAGGTCAAACATTTTCTGTAAGTCTTCACAAGGTTTTCACACACTGTTGCTGGTATTTTGGCCCATTCCTCCATGCAGATCTCCTCTAGAGCAGTGATGTTTTGGGGCTGTCGCTGGGCAACACGGACCTTCAACTCCCTACAAAGATTTTCTATGGGGTTGAGATCTGGAGACTGGCTAGGCCACTCCAGGACCTTGAAATGCTTCTTACGAAGCCACTCCTTCGTTGCCCGGGCGGTGTGTTTGGGATCATTGTCATGCTGAAAGACCCAGCCACGTTTCATCTTCAATGCCCTTGCTGATGGAAGGAGGTTTTCACTCAAAATCTCACGATACATGGCCCCATTCATTCTTTCCTTTACACGGATCAGTCGTCCTGGTCCCTTTGCAGAAAAACAGCCCCAAAGCATGATGTTTCCACCCCCATGCTTCACAGTAGGTATGGTGTTCTTTGGATGCAACTCAGCAGTCTTTGTCCTCCAAACACGACGAGTTGAGTTTTTACCAAAAAGTTATATTTTGGTTTCATCTGACCATATGACATTCTCCCAATCCTCTTCTGGATCATCCAAATGCACTCTAGCAAACTTCAGACGGGCCTGGACATGTACTGGCTTAAGCAGGGGGACACGTCTGACACTGCAGGATTTGAGTCCCTGGCGGCGTAGTGTGTTACTGATGGTAGGCT